CAAAAGTTTAATTTACGTTCAACTGTTGTTTTATTTGGCCAAAATGTTTTCTTTAGTGTGTCATATTCGGTGCAGTCCTTGTGTACGTGTTCCGCTGTCTGGGAAAACTGTCCACATTTGCACACAGCTGATTTACTGATCCTGAACTGTGTCTACTTGTGGTTGCGCAGTCGGCCGTGTCCTGGTCTGAGGGGCAGGATAACGATTTCTTCTGATCTGTTCCTGTTCATAACAGAGTATTTATCGGTAACAGCTTTGGCATACATGACTATACACATTATACAAACATTTTGGATCAAACATATATGTGTGACGTAAATAAGAATATATGTCTATCCGTCTATTAGATTCGTTAGCCTCTCGTTTTCTTGTCTAGCTAGCTTCACAAGGTGAACGTTGTTATCCTAGTAACCGCGTAGAAGGTTGGAGTTTCAACCCCCAGTGGGAAGCATCTTATTTTGTCCTGCTTAATCCGCAAAGCGTCACAGAGAGGAGTTATATGTGGTTCCTTGTCTTTCGATGGTAGAGTTGTGTTAGTGACATTTTGCGTTTCTCTTTAGTGTCTCCCGCCCCCTCCACTCACCTCTTTTTTGTCGACCTTGAAGCCTGCCCTTCTTATGTAACACTCTAGCTGCTCACTAATATTGTTCAGTTTTGACCTTATTGCCAACCTATTGAATTCTTCGATGTTCCAAATGGTTTGGTCATCTGGATAGGACATCAAGCAAGGTGAAAGCGAAATCTGTTTCCGACAGCCAGCTACTGAGGTGATAGCATGGTGCGACACAGTGAGCTGTGATGTTACCTAGAATACTTTCTGTGTGTGTTTCCGGAGGTCTGTGTTGGGAAAAAAGTAATCTGAAAGTGGCTTCTGGCTGGTGGCCACCTAACTTCTGGTATGCCGTATGCAGTAATACGTGTACACCTGCTAGTTTGTCGTGACTGCTGCTTACTATCAGGTGTGAATGGCCCTTCTAGTCACAGACTATTGCTGTTTTCAGCCGAAGTTATATTATCACCATCAACGTCACAGCATATTGGGCACTTCATTTAGGGCTCAGTCCTCCGATGCAGAAGCCTCTCCAGAGAGCCTCTACTGACTGATACCACGAAAAAATGGTTAAGTCTCCTAGACCATCTAGAAGGCGGCATGGGCGTGCTTCACTCCTATGTCATGCAATCGGGCTAATGTCAGAGATTTTTCAATGCCTGATTTTACCAGGGCTTCTTTCTGACTTTTCATATGAGGCAATATTGGGTATTGTGGGTGATTTTCAGCTGCACGACAAAAGAGCAATGATAGAGAAGGCCGGCAGCTGCTATGTTGGCATCGCGACTGACGAAACCCGGACATTTGTTAGACCATTTGGACTTCCTTAGATGATGTCACCACCATTCCGAGCTAAGTCGACCTGAAAGATCTGTACCGAACATTCTTTGTTTAATTTAATTCTCGCTCATAAAGCTGTTATCTAGTTAGAATGTTAGGGGAAATTATGGCTTCTATAGTGTCACTGCCTTTAACGCGTTAAGTGCCAGAAGATTCTAAGAAGATGAAGACAGAGAATAATAAACACAATGAAATAAAATAAATATATTGGCAGCAAAGTGGCAACACAGTCTAGCCAGGTTTCTTTAGTACGCTCCTGCCAACTATTTAAGATATAATTTGGCACCATCTGGTGGTTGACACATAGAAACAGTAACAGATCACATATTGTACGGTTCTTGGGATAGACATTACTAAGGAACCCAAATTGTTGTTAAGAAACTGTTGCTTACATAATTTTAAACCATTCTCGTATTATCTTTTTATGGGTCATGGATACATGGCTCATTAAACAACAACAGCAACAATAACAGCAGCAGCAACAACGACAACAACAACAAAGGCAAATGAACTGTTTTGGCCGTATTTATAAACAGAGTACTCTTTTAAAACAAACATTAGAAGGTAAAGTTTAAAAGCCAGCAAAAGACAGACAGCGATATAAGTGGGAAGACAACATAAATAGGTGGGCAAGGAGCGATCTGAAAAAAAAAATTGTTGTATATTCAGAACACACCACTGATTGTATCGGAGATTCCCTGCAGTTATATTTCTTTCTGAAGATGTCACCTGATTGATTGAACACACTTTCTTATTTCTCCCAAGATGAACAGTCTCCATGGAATGCTCACATCAACCTTATCATGACCTACCGTCTGGATGCTGATATCTTTGTCCCATACTCTCATCTTGTGTTTAGTCCAAAGCCACTGAAACAAAGACCGGATTACTGTAAGCTCTTGTTGTTTGTGTTTTTGTGTCTGTTGTATGCCGACTACTTTTAACACTGTAGTCTCAACCAAAAGAGCGGTTGGCCCAGTAATTGGAGCGCTGGGTCCTCATGCGGCTGTATTTAAGTTTTACCATCGTCAAGGATGCGGATATTTTATTGTCTGTCAGGAGCTCAAGATCGATTTTGGTGACTATACTAGACACGGGGCCCTGTCTACGTAACGTTACGTTTGTTGTGGGGAAAAGGAAAAGAACTACTGTACCCTAACAATCATGTCGTAGCAAGGCGACAAACTAGATTTGTAAAACGGATTTGCACGCAGTATTAACATTCCGGAAGAAAACTAACATCCACATGTTCGATGAAGAACCCGATGTCTTCAGCTGGTAAACGCTAAGAAGAAGAAGGGGGAGACCAGTAATAAGACCATAAATCGATGGTAATTGGTTTCTAAACAGCATCTAGTCCTGAAAGACATTTAAGTATTTAGGCCATGTACAACTTCGTGGTGGCCTAGAGATGGAGGGAACACTTTCCGGAAGGAAAAGCAGAAGCCGATCTCCGTAAATGTGGATGCAAGACATTAAAAATGCATTCTCTAATGAAAGCAAAAAGACTTGTCTAAACAAGAACCTTGCTGACGGATATGATGGAAAACACTGGTGGAAACGACCCGGTCGTGTCCGATGTGCAATAAAGATTGTCTGTAGAATCAAAAGGGAACAATGAAACAATCGAAAGTGAATATCATACGTTGTCTGTTGATTCTGCCTAAAAATCATAAAACCATAAGTGTTTGTGTTAATGTGTGTAATGGGGGATATTTTCACCCATATTAGGTGCTGTAAGTTATAAAATGTCAATTAATCGATGCTCGAACGACTAACTTGGTGTCGGCTTGTACCAGTTGTGTAACGCAGAGTGTGTGAGAAGAACATTCACGACACACGCATGAACACCACCTAGACAACGAGAATATAAACACACCACTTATTACAATGTGCTTGTGTGCATGAGTGTGGATATGTGCCTGTTGCTTGTGTTGTAGTAATGTCATCACCGTGAGTGTGTTTTTTACATTAGAATCCACCCACAGACATGCACATAGTCTTTGTGTGTGTCCGCTTTGGTCCAAACACGTGAGAAACAAGAACCATCAGTGCCTCGTTATGAGCGAGACCATTGACTATCAAGTATGTCTCAAACGTTATCGAACATATATATATGAGAGTGTGCCAATAAGTAAGAGTAAGCTACAAATCATTCTAAAAAAAAAAAAAAAAAAAAAGATGTTAACAATTAGAAAGCCTTTTTTTTTAAAACAGTTACACAAGCCTTCTATTTTTTAACATAAATTCCACCAACATTGATGCACCTGTTCCATCGTTTTATCAGTCCTCAGAAACCTGCTGCATAGAACTGAGTGCTCTGTGTTATAAACCACTTCACACCAACTTCTGCGTCACTGGCGAAATGTCTCTCGCTTAGATGGGTTTTCAGTGGACCAGAAATCGAGTGGGATCCCCTAATAACAGCTGCTAAAGAGACAACCGTTAATTGCCTGTCACCTCTATGTATCTCCTCCACCCACTGTACAGATGCGTTTGTTGCAATCTCAACAGGACGACCAGATCAGACTTCATTAACAATCGTAGAGCGTCCTTAGGAAACATTCTTTACCCAGCAGTGCTCTGCTTTGAGGATAAACATTTGTCAGCATAAACAGGAAACATTTCCATATGAATGTCCTTTGCTGGCAGCACCCCCACCCCTCTCCTTTTAGACGCCCCCCCCCCCAAAGCCTACAACATCACGTTGTTATTTGAAGGTACACTAGGTAAGTACACTCGCTTTTTTTTTTCTGTTTTGCGCCTGCGCATGCAACACCTAGCGTCACCTAACAAACAAAGACGTAAAGCTGGATGTTGCTGTCACCTAATGACACCTTTACAAACCACTATCTACATTTTTCTGTCACCCCATAACCATTTATGACTTAATTATTGACTTCTCCTGGTACTTTCTATCTCTCAGTCTTTCTGTACCTCCTTCCCTCTCTATTTTCTCTCTGTCTTGGCCTCTGAGGCAAAACATTCCCGTTCTTGTTTTTTAAATTATTTGAGAGGTCCCAGATTCAAATCCCGGAAGAGCACTCAATGTTAAATGTCTCTTTTACTGAGATATAGCTAGTACTTCTCAGGTATTGGCTAAGATCTAGAGGTAGGCTTTACGGAACAGACGGAATAGATTTCTCTCTCCATCATCTACCGTAGGTCTGCAAATGATAATCGACGAAAGCTGTCTTCATTTTCTTATTTATTGACACACACACATAAACGATGAGAATAAGTCTACCAGTTCTATATCAACGTTGCAGTCTGACACTTACGGCACCCATGCAGGGTTCACATGCTCCCACTGTGAGTATACAATCACAGCCACAATATATACACGACTGGTACAACTACCAGTCAGCAGAATACATCTGTTGTCCTTCTCTCAGTTGTTCTTCAGCGTGTTTCAATTGCAGACGAACCACAACGTTCAGTCCTCAACGCTGTGGATCCGCTTTCACTCCTCGCTCTAGGTCCCTTTAACTCCTTCTTGCTGTGGTGTCCTGTTAGAGAATGACTCCGTTACCTCCGTGATCTCCAGTCAGCTCACACAATCTCGTGTTTTGCCATTCTCACATCGACTTCACGTCTTCCAACCTGTGGATTCACACCCCCCCCCCCTTTTCCTACCAACTATTTAAACACATTATATTATTCCTATATTAGCATCACTACATGTCTGGTTTGGTAGACTATAGCATGTGTTGTACTGACGAATCTAACGTGTTCCTACAGATAAGATCGCCAAGAGCAAGACAAAGACGGCTGTGTGGATGGTTAGTAAATGTTCGACGCCTAACAAGAGACTGGAGTACGTCAAGGAGATGCAGGTAGGTTAGTCAAGTTAAGGTCCCTATTCACTCCATCAAGGCATGTGAAATATAATATTGTAAAACGTAACGGACACTTTACACGCAGGTTAGGCTTATGAGCTAGTCTCATATGTTGTCAGTCCTAGACAATCTATGTTGATTACATGTTGCGACAGTAATGACTGCAACTTTTTGGTATACTACATATCCAGGTACTGATATCTCTCTGATGCTGTGAGATGTACATGATGGTTATACGGCACTTTTTCCCAAACTAATCATGCTGAATTTTACTTGGAGCACGACTTTAAAAAAAAAAAAAAAGAGTCTTACGTCTAATCTTTAAACCCATTAAAGATGCAAACAGAGGGGAATGGAGAATAAAAGCAACAATGAAATTCAACATCTGTTTAAACCACTATGGATCACTGGCATCATGAGGGATAACAGACAAAAATGGCTAAGAAAATATTGAGAGAATGTCAGATGACATAGAGGTAAAACATGCTGTGTAAACAAGGGAGCTAAATAGTCGTAGATTACATGGTAGACTAAGAAGACGACGGAGAGCTAATGTCCAGACAGATCTGCAAACACTTAGTATCACCAACTCGAAAGAGAAATCCTACCAGCGAGATGAAAGGAGGCGGGTGATTTCTGCAACATGAAATCTCAAGGCTATGAATGTTGAAGAAGAAGAAGAAGAAGAAGAAGAATGGAGAATTTCGCTCCATGATTCAGCCCTCACAAAGAGTTAAATAAAATTCATTTCAAGCTTAATTATAGGTCCTAAATTCTTCAAAATTACTCAATTTGTGTTATTAAAAATATCAGTATGTTATATAAGTCAAACGAAAAGTTAATACTATTAACTGCTTCAACAGCTTTAAGAAAGTAACATGTGAAAAGTACATCGAATCTGAGGAGCTGTTTTCAAAATTTATGCTTTTCACGTGTGCTACCTTCCTTTTGCCATAGAGTACATTGGCATTGTAAAGAATGCAATGTTTTCATTTTTTTTTTGACACGGGACAGCAAACAGATCAAGCACAGAGTGATTCGTTTGCAGTCAAGTTGGAAGTGTGGATATTTTTTAACTTAAACATTATAAATGAGACATATTTTTTAACTTATACACATTATAAATGAGACAGATTTTTTAACTTATAAACATTATAAATGAGACATATTTTTTAACTTAAACATTATAAATGAGACATATTTTTTAACTTATAAATATTATAAATGAGACACATTTTTTAACTTATAAACATTATAAATAAGACAATTACTGTTTGTCTGTTCCTTAAAGAAATTTACAGAAACCGAAGCAATCAAGGTCGAGACACAGCTTTATACACTAATCTTAATCAAATCTCGATGCCTGTATAGAGCTTTGACTTTCGCCAGCTCGTTTGTTTTTAACTGGTTTTTTTTATATTGGTTCTCAGCAGACCGTTTTAATTCTTTGCCGCGACCTCGTCTTCCCCATTAATACTTCTTTTATGTGTGACTGTTCTACATCCTGCTATTTATTGATACATGCTGCAGAAGATCGCAGATTGTGGAGAGGCATGATCGCCCACGCCAGTCGGCAAGGCACCTGATGATGATACAGACAGTCAAGGGGAAAAAACAGTATACCAACACGGAGCTGGTGCTTTCAGTGGCACACTCTGGGCCGGGGTGGGGGGGGGGGGGGGTGGGCGATACTGAAGATGGGATCCGAGCGCTAATGGACTTGTTCGATGCGCAGTGATAATAATCTGTCGATTAACTAACGGACTTTATAAGCTGGATCAAGTCAAAATGTCAATTTTAAAGGAGGGAAAACAGCCCTTTCACAGAACTTAAGCTAAGAAATTTTCGCTGCCATGCTAGGATCCCTTCGACACGCTCAGTTCACTTGCCGTCATGTCAGTTGTTGCTGTCATAAATATATTTATTATCATCGTGTTGATAGGTAACAAACTTATACAATCACTAAAAACCAATTAGTCATTTCAAATGCTCCTGTCCTTTTATCACCTGTGTGGCTATGTCATCCAGGGATTTATCTTTTTGTCTTCCCCATCCACACGAGGCTATGTCATCCAGGCGCAAATCTCTTTGCCTACGTCATCCATATCGTTATGTCATCAAAGGATGTATCTCTTTGACTTCCCCATCCACGTGGATATGTCATCCAGGAATGAATCTTCTTGCTTTTCTATCTAAATGGCTATGTCATCAAAGAGCTAACATCTTTTCCTCCTCATCCACATGGTTATGTCTTCCAGGGATGTATCTTTTTGTATCTGTCACTAAATTCTCGCAGGCAATCGTTTTGCAAAACTTCTCAAAACCATATAATTACTACATGTGCTGAGTAAAGATTTTAGATGGTAAACATATTTTTCTATACATTCTCCAGAAATACATCGACGTTGATATATTTGGAGCATGTGGACATCCCTGCCCTAGGTCCAACTCCAACTGCAACAACTGGACGACCACATATAAATTCTACCTCTCCTTCGAGAACTCTCATTGCAAAGATTATGTCACCGAGAAATTCTTCAAGTTATTTCAGCAAAACGTCCATGTGATTCCTGTTGTGAGAGGCGGCGCTGATTACCACACACACTTTCCCAATGGTACCTTTATCAACACTGCTCACTTCGAAACGGCCAAAGATTTAGCTCTTCATTTGAAACATTTGGCTTCTGATCTAGAGACATACAGCAAGTACTTAGAATATAAGGATTTATACAGAAATACTGGACCAGTCGATCACTTATGTAAATTTTGCTCGTTTTTGCACACTCATAATTTACCCGCTTCGAAAGCGTACAATTTGAAAAGATGGATTAATGACAATCATTGTTACAATCCTACAGATATATAACTGCATAATTATTTTTTTTTTTTTTTTTTTGTGTGTTCGATGAAGATGTATTAATGAAACGTCAAATATAAAGTGGCAGGTTAGAAAGTACAGTTCTCAACTTAAAAAAAATTAAAAATGTCTCGCCAGCACATATTACAGACAGCGAAACGATTGTCAAGTCAAACAAGACAGACATGACTTCCGGTCTAAAATAGAGGACTAGGCACGGCAGAATTGTAGGCTTCGAAGTTTTTTGTGTGGGCTAATGGAGGTTTCACATACGGACGGTTGTCTACGGTTTCGCTGCCTGGGCTACTAAGTTTAGTGCTTGGCAGCCCTTTGAGCTTTTATTTCATGTCTTCTTCTTCTTCTTTCATTCGCCTGAAATGATTTGTCTTTATCAGCAATTTTGTCTCTTGTATAAATTTCACTGTCGTTGTTAGTTCATTCAGTGGTTCATAGAGTTTATGGTTTATGTTCCACTGTTTGTTTCTTTCTCTCCAAAGGGTTTGCCTTAATGTGTCAAATTCGGTGCAGCCTTGTCGTAAATGCTCTGCTGGCTGGGGCACCTTTCCACAGGTGCACATTGCTGATACACCTATCTTGAATTGTGTGTACATGTGGTTACGTAACCTGTTGTGCCCTGTTCTGAGGCGGAGGATAATGACTTGTTCTGATCTGTCCATAATAAAATATTTATGTCATGTGAAATGCCTTTCATGTATGCAGCGGTTAAGTCATTGTATTTAGTATGGCCGGTTGCCGGTGTATATGTAGGGTGGTGAAATACCTTATGTAATATTTCTATGTGAGTATAGCCAATGCTTAGGGACGTTACATTATAACACAGCGTCTGACACTGAAAGACGTATGCAGTGAGAAGAGAAGATTTGGGGTGGCAAGGAGGCGACTGCAAGATCATCTTAGGATTAATTATGAAAACCCAGACTGCACGGAAGTAGTCTAGTTCAGCGGTGGAAACATTTAAGATTGACTTGAAAGTCTTGTCAGCTACATAGGCAGTGGTCACGGATGCATAGAAGAGACGCACATTTATTATTGAGTAGCATTACAGTTATAACGCTAGAAATATAGATTAGAACAGAAGGTACATACATTATTCTTTCCGTTAGATGAAGCTAGGTCAACTGACCAGAGATGGGAGGGAACAAGCTGACGAGTGGCAGAGATGTTACAGATTACCCACGATTTCAGAAGAAAGAATGTAACAAGAAGTGAGACTGTACCAAGGGACAGACGGGAAGAGAACAGACAGATGACCAGAGAGGACCAGGGTGTTGAGCCCAGAGGTTGAGAAGAAGAACTAAAATTTGTGAATATAGGAGTTTAGCAAAATAGAAAGCAAATATCACACTTTTTAGGAGTAACTAAAAGATAATACAGCATAAACTTCGTTAAAAGAAAGATAGTTGAACTTCGTGTTAGAAGAGATGTTAACAAAGATTCGACAACGGGCCATGTCCTGTTAGAGTACGAAACATACGTTACAGCAACTTATACTGAGGTGTTCGCTATCAGTGAATTAAATGAAGCTTTCATTGCATATGATTTGGCGTTGTGTTTTATAATAAACAAATTTGTTTTCATTAATTCTTTTTGCCGATCACTGGCTGTGCCGTTAGGCACAATAGATATACAAAAACTATCTAGCTCTGCTAGGCGTGCTTACGCTGGGGAGCATGAAAAACTAGATAGTGTCACAAGATGATGAAAATAGTTGGTACCGTGACCAGGATAGTCTTGTCTAAGTCGACAATGTAAAAAAAAGCAAGACTGTTAAACTAGAACAACGAACCAAGTTCAAAAGTGTATCAAGTCTTAAACTAAATCATCTTTTAAAACGTGCACCAGATTGACGAAAGAAGCTGAAATTCATTTCAGTGAAATCGTGTGGCAAAACGTGAAATCAAACTAACAACTTGCACTATCTTCGACTGGATCGGAGCAGAAGAAGCTTCATTTCAGGTTACAAATTGTACAGTATGCGACGGATTCTAGCTGAAGAAACTCCATTCTAGGTTACAAGTTGTGCCGTCCTCACTTGAATCCGAACAGTGAGATCCATTCTAGCCAAAACATACTTTCACAAATCCAAAGACTTAATATTCAGAAGACTGGGTGAAAGTTGGGAATCTTTCTCAATATCGGAACAATAGAGGATACAGACATTTAATACGAAAAACAAAACAGTCCACTCTAAGAACTTTAACATCTGTAGTGGTGCAGGGAAAACATCTTAAACAATCAATACCAGAACAATAGAAGAGGCTCATCACTAACACACACACACACACACACAAGTAAATAAAAACAGTGCGACTCTAAGAACTGTAAAATAATATTAGATACTAAACTGGATAGTTAGTTGATTGGATCCTGAACTAGATGGTTGGATGATTTGTGTCGCATGTTCTGTTTTCAGATGTTTGTAATACGCTTTTGTTTATTTTCTAACTGTCCTCTTGGTTTCAGAGCCATCAAGAACAGATGGTATTGACTGTGTTTCAAAAATTGTTATATTGGTGTTACGAAATATACCCTTCAAGTTAATTTAGCAGAAGTTGTAGAAAGTAGCTGGTAATAAGAAAAGAAATTGTTACTTTTAATGGTAAATACTCAAAGGTTAAAATGTTGAAAGCAATATTACTGCGATACTAAACGATATAAAGTAACTATTAGAGCCATATGGTTTGTTGTTTAAAAAAAAAAAAAAAAACTATATCGAGCACAAGGAGTTTAAAAAACCAACAGCCGTATAGCGCGCTGCTTGGTACTGAAACGAGTTAAACAATTAAAGATCATTTATATAAAACAAAATGAAAGTCCTTCTCTGAGGACGGTAAAATAGAATGGTGAAAATGAAACAAAAAATCGTGCTTCGTTTAAAGTAGCAAGCATCACTTCGGAGGTCCCGGGTAGTTGACATCCTTTGTATATTTTCTTCAGGTATATTGGAAAACAAGCAGGTCGTTTGTATACCATTTAGTGGGAGAATTAATGAATGACAAGCTAGATGTTAGAGTGCCCTTCGGAAGCGTGAACAGTGCGGAGGTACAAATAGATCATTACGGTCTGAGGAGAATGTCGCTGCGAGAAGTTACCAGGGGATCATGCCGGACCTCGCCACTCAAAATACGGATATACAATCAGACAGTTACTGGTATCATCGGAACTGGAACTCTTTGCTTGTTGCTAAAGATGAGGATAGGGTACTTATGGGAGTGTGCGGATTTCTATGATGTCGATTCCTAATAAAATGTTCAACATTCAACTTTTTTTTAATCAACTGAAGCCGTTACTAAGTTGTTCGGATGGAAGTATGGCATTGTAGACTGTTTTATTCTAGATCTACAAAATGCCAGAAATAATACATTGAATCTATCCTTCACATCCTTCATTTCAAAAAGTAAGAAAATATATATGGGCAAATAAATGAATAAATAATTATTGGGGGAAAAAAAAAGAAAAAAAAAAAAAAGAGAATTAGAGATAGATAAATAACAACATAATAATATCCACATCATCACTCAGTAGGACCTTTACAGAACAACTCTCTCTCCACTGCATGCTTGAAGATTTATATCTTGCCAATTCTACAACCCTGTGTGCTTTCATAGCTAATGAATCTTCATGTCTCGCTGTTCCGCCTAGTTTTTCTGCCTGTACCCTCCATCACGGTTCTGCCTATATTTTCTGTATTGTACCCTCCATCACCGTTCTGCCTATATTTTCTGTATTGTACCCTCCATCACGGTTCTGCCTCTATTTTCTGTATTGTACCCTCCATCACCGTTCTGCCTATATTTTCTGTATTGTACCCTCCATCACGGTTCTGCCTATATTTTCTGTATTGTACCCTCCATCACCGTTCTGCCTATATTTTCTATATTTTATTTCCAGTACTGTGACTATATTTTTTAGCCATCGTTTTTTTAAATTTTATTTCATTTATTCCGCATCACATTTTTTAAACGTCGCTCACGTCACCCCTTAGAGATCTACATACTCTCCATTCCTCGATCGTGTATTTCACTTGTGTTTGAAAAAGGCTGCCCGGCCGAAACGTTACGTTGTGTTTTTTTGTGCACGTTTTCCTCTTTCCCATTTTGTTGAGCTTTTTAGTAAACTTTCTCTGGAATTCATTCTATATTTTCTGTACTGTACCCTTCATCACCGTTCTGCCTATATTTTCTGTACTGTACCCCCCATCACCGTTCTGCCTATGCCTATATTTTCTGTACTGTACCCTCAATCACCGCTCTATCCAGTTTTTCTGTACTCTACCCCCCATCAGCGTTCTGCCTATATTTTTTCTGTACTGTACCCCCCATCACCGTTCTGTCTATATTTTCTGTACTGTACCCCCCATCACCGTTCTGTCTATATTTTCTGTACTGTACCCCCCCCCCCCCCCATCACCGCTCTGCCTATATTTTCTGTACTGTACCCCCATCACCGTTCTGTCTATATTTTCTGTACTGTACCCCCCATCACCGCTCTGCCTATATTTTCTGTACTGTACCCCCCATCAAACTATGTCGGCCACGCCCTTAGAATGGATAAATCAAGACTTCCTTACCAAGCCCTCATTTGGACACCACAGGGGGAAAGATCTCGTGGAAGACCAAGGGAAACCCTACGTAGAACTATCATCAGGGAAGGCTCGCTCATGGGCCACTCAAACATCCAAGACCTACAACGGATTGCGAGTCATGACCTCTGCCCTATGTGCCGCACTCGACACAATAGGAAAAACTAACTAACTAACTAACCCCCCATCACCGTTCTGCCTATATTTTCTGTACTGTACCCCCCATCACCGTTCTGCCTATATTTTCTGTACTGTACCCCCCATCACCGTTCTGCCTATATTTTCTGTACTGTACCCTCAATCACCGCTCTATCCAGTTTTTTTCCGTACTCTACCCCCCATCAGCGTTCTGCCTATATTTTCTGTACTGTACCCCCCATCACCGTTCTGTCTATATTTTCTGTAC